TCTGCCACCCTCTGTCGCACGTCCTCCTTGTATTGGGCAAAGGCCACCTCCACATCAGGCCTGCTGTGCCCAGAAAACCCCTCGCCACCAACGGGGCTGGGAGATGCAAGGCAGAAGAGAAATCTCAGGGCAAATCGCTCTCCCCATGGGCGGGGCAGCAGCGCCCTGGCCCGGGGCTCCTCCCATGTGTGATATGGGACCAGCGGGGCTGTTTAGGGGCCCCTCACTTAGAGAATCTGCCTCCTGGCGGGTGATCCCGTTAAAGGGAAAGACCTCTGGCTCCTCCGAGAGCCTCACTCAATGTTTTCTTTTTTTTTTTTTTTTTATTTATTTATTTTTTTTTATTTTTGACAGGCAGAGTGGACAGTGAGATAGAGAGACAGAGAGAGAAAGGTCTTCCTTTTGCCGTTGGTTCACCCTCCAATGGCCGCCGCTGCAGCCGGCGCACCGCACTGATCCGATGGCAGGAGCCAGGAGCCAGGTGCTTTTCCTGGTCTCCCATGGGGTGCAGGGCCCAAGCACCTGGGCCATCCTCCACTGCACTCCCTGGCCATAGCAGAGAGCTGGCCTGGAAGAGGGGCAACCAGGACAGAATCCGGCGCCCTGACCGGGACTAGAACCCGGTGTGCCGGCGCCGCAAGGTGGAGGATTAGCCTATTGAGCCACGGCGCCGGCCCTTCACTCAATGTTTTCTCACATGCAGAAGCAGTGGGATACGGTGCCATCATTCAGAGTAACGATAGCACGCTGTACTTACTGATGAGGAAATACGGGCATGATTTATTCAGTAAAATGCAGCACCGGCATTGCTGACAGCGTCCATCACCCTGGATGCGTGGCTCTGACGTGGGAATGGAGACCTAGGTCCCTGGCTGTGGGCGTCCCAGAATGTTCACAATATTTTCGCTCCAGGCACTGGGATTTGCGGTGTTTTTTTTTTTCCTCCTTTCTTAGTCTTTTGTACTTCTTGGGTTTTTAAAAACTAACATGAATCTAACTAACTAACATGGGGCTGGTCCCAACTGCTCCTCTTCCCATCCAACTCTTTTCTATGGCCTGAGAAAGCAGTGGAGGATGGCCCAAGTGCTTGGACCCCTGCACCACATGGGAGACCCGGAGGAAGCTCATGACTCCTGACTTCAGATTGGCCCAGCTCCGACCATTGCAGCATTTTAGGAGTGAACCAGCTGATGGAAAACATCTCTCTCTCTCTCTCTCTCTCTCTCTCCTTCTCTCTGTAACTATCTCAAATAAATAAAATTTTTAAAAATTGTCGTATTCTGCACAGAAAAACTGAGCATTTTAAACAAATTTATTTATTTATTGAAAATCAGAGTGACACAGAGAGATAGATAAAGAGAGAGGGAGAGAGAGAATCTTCCATCTGCTGGTTCATTCTCCAAATGGCCACAATAGCTAGGTCTGGGCCAGGCCGGAGCCAGGAATTCCATCCGGGTCTCCCATGTGGGTGTCAGGGACCCTAGCCCTTGAGCCGTCATCTGCTGCTTCCTGGGCACATTAGCAGGAAGTTGGATCAGAAACAGCAATCCAGACGCCAAGCACTGCTCCAGCAGGGGGTACTGTCTTCACAGACCTCTGCTTTACCTGCTGTGCCACAGCACTGCCTCCAATCCCAGCTATTTTCATTTTTAAAATAAATAAGAAGAACGGTTGCATCTGCAGGTGGGTGATGGGATCACTATGTGTTAGGGATGTGGCACTCAGAAATGGGTCCCAGTGTGGCTCACCTCCAAATACAAACACGGTGGAAGGTGAGAAAAGAGGCTAGGAAATCAGACATGGGCATCATTGGGAGGATCAGAAGATTCCCAATAAGTATATCCTCTTGGTCCGTTGTTGGTATTTGGAAACATGGGGGTGTAGACTTTTTCCAGATTTTTCCCCTCTGTGGTCTTGGGAAACTCCACGTCCATGTTGGGACATTAAAACAAGTAGGCTGGCGCCACCTAGTGTCCGTGATCTGTCATTGCGTCCGTGGGAAACCTCCCGTTACATTCTGATGTCGCTGTGCAGGGGGCGTTTGCGCGGGCAGCGCGGTGCTTCCGCGGGTCTGCGGGGTCGGCAGTACGCCTCATTACTGTATCCCTCCTGGACCCTCACCCGCCCTCTTGCTCCTGTCTTCCCCCTGCTGGCGTTCTCCAGCCCCACAGCCCTTCCTCCTGCAGTCCTGCTGCCTGACTGTCATTTATCCTCTGACACCCACCCCGTTCTCCTCTCTTCTCACAGTCGGAGGAGCCTTCTACACGGGAGTGTTCCCCAGAGCCCAAGGCCATAGTCAAATCCCCCTCTGACCGCCGTGCACCTCTCCCGCTGCTGCGTGTGGTGTCGGCCCTGCAGGTGTAACCCTCGCGGGAACCTGCATTCGTCTTGCAGAGTGCAGCTTCCCCATCCAGGGCATCTGGCCCTGCAGGGGACGTTTCACCACATCTGGAGACATCTGCGGCTGTCGGAGTTGAGGCGGAGCACGCACCTGGGCCAGCATCGGGAGTGGAGGCCAAGGACGGTGCAGGAGCTCTCAGGAGCAGAGAGCTGTCTGGCTCAAGGGAGCGGCAGTGCCTTGGCCCTGAGGTTAAGAAATCCTGCCCTAGACTCCCAGCCCCATGAAGGCAGGGACGGTAGCCACTGCATCCTGCAGTGTTTATTTATTTATTATCTTTTTTACTTTTTAAAATTTTTATTTAATTTTTTGAAAGCTTTTATTTAATAAATATAAATTTCATAGGTACAGCTTTTGGAATATAGCGGTTTTTCCCCCCATACCTACCCTCCCACCTGCAGCCATCCCACCTCCTACTCCCTCTCCCATACCATTCTTCATTAAGATTCATTTTAATTATATTTATATACAGAAGATCAACTCTATACTAAGTAAAGATTTCAACAGTTTGCACACAAAGTATAAAGTACTGTTTGAAGACTAGTTTTGCTGTTAATTCTCATAGTACAACTCATTAAGGACAGAGGTCTACATGGGGAGCAAGTGCACAGTGACTCCTATTGTTGATTTAACAATTGATACTCTTATTTATGATGTCAGTAATCACCCGAGGCTCTTGTCTGAGCTGCCAAGGCCAGCGAAACCTTTAGAGTCCACAAACTGTCAGTATTTAGACAGGGCCATAGTCAAAGTGGAAGTTCTCTCCTCCCTTCCGAGAAAGGCACCTCTTTCTTTGGTCCCTTCTCAGATGTGCTTAAAGGCTGACATGATGCTGTTAACCGGTCTGTCTTTGTACCAGCAAGAGTTTATCTTTTTTTTTAAAGATTTTTTTATTTGTTTATTTGAGAGGTAGAGTTCCAGAGAGTAAGAGAGACAGAGAGAAAGGTCTTCTGTCAGCTGCTTCACTCTCCAGATGGCTGCAATGGCAGGAGCTGGGCCAATCTGAAGCCAGGAGCTAGGAGCTTCCTCTGGGTCTCCCGTGTGGCTCCAGGGGCTCCAGGACTTGGGTCATCTTCTGCTTTCCCAGGCCATAACAGAGAGCTGGATGGGAAGAGGAGCAGCTGGGACATGAACTGGTACCCATATGGGATGCTAATGCCACAGGCTGAGGCTTAGCCTCAGTGCCATAGTGCCAGCCCCTATTTATTTATTTGAAAGGCAGAGAGAGAGAGAGAGAGATGTTTTATCTGCTGGTTCACTCCCCAAATGGCCTCAATAATTGGGGCTGGGCCAGGCACAAGCCAGGAGCCTGAAACTCCATCGGGGTCTTCCACGTGAGTGGCAGAGGACCAAGCACTAGAGCCATATTTAGTGCTTTTCCAGGTACTTCAGCAGGGCTCATATGGGATGTCAGTGGGCAGCCTAACCTGCCATCCACAATGCCGACCCCTTGTCCTCATTTACTCTAGCATAAACATCTGGTCTTTGTGCTCAGGGTGGAGTTCTTTCTGAAGAAGCCTGGCCATCCAGTTTGTGTAGTGTCCCACTTAACTCCAGTTACAGATGGAAGTCTGTTGTAAAGAGACTGGGATCTAAACACATCATAAATCAAAACTCTAAATAATAACTTGAAAGGCATATACAAAAAAGGATGACTCTCCAGATCAGTAACGCTCCACGTGATTACCATGATGTGGTGTGTAAGGGAAGGTCAAGTGAGTTCATCCTTTAACCCCTGGTGGCTGTGAGGTTTAAAGGGACATGGTGAATATATAAGGGACTTGAGAATGTCTGTGGAAGACTGGAATTACAAGGTAAGTTGGGGGCTAGTGCTCGGTGCGGTGGTTAGGATGCTGCTCGGGACAGCCAGGTGCTGTATCACAGTGCCTGATTTTGATTACAGCTTCTTGTTAATGTGCGCCCTGGGAGTCAGCAAGTCTTCGCTCAAGTGTGTGTGTCTCTGCCCCGCAACTGGGGGACCTGGATTGAGTTTCTGACTTCTGGCTTCTGGCTTAAGCCTGGCCCAGTGCCAGCTGTTGGAAGCATTTGGGAAGTGAACCAGCAGTTGGAAGTTCTCCCCCTCTCCTACTCTCCCCCTGTCCCCCTCTCCCCCCGTTCCCCTCTCCCCCCGTTTCCCGTGAAGGTTTGGAAGCATTTGGGAAGTGAACCAGCAGTTGGAAGTTCTCCCCTTCTCCCCCTCTCCCCCTCTCCCCCCGTCCCCCTCTCCCCTTTTCCCCCCTCTCCTTCTCTCCCGCCTCTACCTCTGTTCCCCTCTCCCCCTCTTCCCCGTCTCCCTCTCCCCCCTTCCCCTCTCCCCCTCTCCCCCTTTCCCCTTATTCTTTGGGGGACAGACCAGATGGTGTTGGGGTGAAGTGTCAGACTGTCCACAGCTCTCAGTGGCCTGGCTGAGATGCAGCTGTGTGTGCACAGAGAGGAGAGCTGGCACACACGTGGCCGTGTCGAAAGCCGCTGGTTTAGGTGGAAGGAGGATGGTGTTGCTGTGCCGCCATGTACACCTCCCGAGGCGGGAATCTTCAGGGGCTCACAGCTGAACCGTATACTGTGCCGGAAGCCCCCTGAGCCCGGCCTCTTTTGTCTTCAGTCTGCAGCTCCCCACCCATCCACATGAAGGTGCAGCCCCTGAACCAGACGGCGCTGCAGGTGTCCTGGAGCCAGCCGGACACCATCTACCACCCTCCCATCATGAACTACGTCATCTCCTACAGCTGGACCAAGAACGAGGATGAGAAGGAGAAGACGTTCACCAAGGACAGTGACAAAGACTTGGTGAGGACCCCTCTTCCCGGTCGGGGGGCCTGCTGGAGGAGGGGTGGGGGTGCTAGTCTCTGACAGCAGCCTCCCAGCCTGCTAGCTGTGTGTCTGGTGAGTGTGAGGGCTGCCACGGCCATGCTGTCCTGCGGGAGTCACTGGGTGGACAGTGCCCCGGGCCTGCCTGAACTCTGGCCTGACTTCCACTTTCCCTCTGCTCTTGGCTGTCAGATCCTGTAACATCTGCCCTCACGTGCAGCTGCACGGGCCCAGATGCAAGTTTTCTTAAAATGCACGTAAATGTTTGTTCTCCAACACCCAGGAAGGCCCTTCAGAACAGGTGTTTCAAGAAACCATCATCTCCCCCTAGGAAAGCACACTTCCCTCACATGCTGTCATCTTTAAGTCTTGCCTGGGGACTCAAAGTGACACATTGGGGTTTGAAAACCTTGCTTGCATTTTTTGTTAATCAAAGGAGGGCTTTAGAGTAATGAAAGCCATCCCTGTACATATACATGAGAAATGCGGTGGCACTGAATGGTGTTCTTAATGACTGCTACCGCTTTTCCCATCTCCCAGTCTGGAGTCCTTGGGGCCCATTCAATCAGTTATAGAATAACACTTTTCATATTCCTTTAGATGAAGATTGTTTGACTTCATTTCCATTTATATTTTCAATTTCCCCACCAGACATTGTTATCTGGGTCACATTAGGGAATGCTGAGTGCCATGAAATCAGAGAGGAATCTATTGACAGGCGCCCAAGGTTAGGAAGTGTTTTAACCTTTGTGTGGAGAGTCCATAAGGGAGGGCTCTTTCTCTTTCTGAAGGAAAGATGACTTCCATTCATCAGTAGAAACTGTCTCGGCGCTCAGGCGGGTTTCTCGTTCCAAGTGGAAAATAATTAAACATGCAAAGATGAATAGGTGCTGGCTGGGGGTGAATGCTGATGAATGCTTGCATGGACAGAGTGGAGTTCCATGATGAACAGAAGATGGGGTCAGAGGTGTAGAGAAGGAGGCATAAAGTAGTTTCAGAGGGAGAGAGGGAGGAAGACATGCGGCGACAGAAAGCTCTTTGTGGTGAGAGTTTCTAGGGGTGATTCTTTGGGGACACACAAAATTAATTTTTGTAATTCCTTACCAAGCCAAGTGTGCTGATTCTGTCATCACAAAGGTGCTAACTTAAGGTTGCTGTGGCCCAGAAACCTCAAAGTGGTGCTGCACATTCCTTCTGGCGTTTTCTTGCCACCACCCCTCTCCCACGTCCTCACCACAGCCCCGTGGGGACAGGCGTGACCGCCCACCCTTCACGAAAGGGGTGGACCCCAAGTGCCCGAATGTCACCCTCGCCGGCTGCTCTCCCAGGACGCTGGTTTCCAGACAGCAGGCAGGAGTGGCCACAGCGGTCCGAGGTTTTCCCTGGCTACACTGGGTGCACCCACTCCCCTGGGGGAAGCGTAGCCTCAGGCTTCCAGGGCGAGTCTTCTAGAAAGATCCTTTGGAAATCACTTGCTTTCGTTGCCTGTTCTCTGGTGGCAAGTGCCGCTCACTTTCTTAAGTGTTTTCCATTTGTTCCTTTGGAATGAAACTTCCTTTAGCATTTTGTTTCAGAATAGTGTAAATTCACAGAACAAAAATTGTGAGGTAATAATACAGAGTTCCCAAGCACCTTCACCGCTGCTCTTTTATGAACACCTCACTCGTATTTAGTATCTTTGTCACAATTAGTGACCCACACCCAGCTTCTCCTATTTTTTTTTTAATTTAAAAACCTTTCTTCTAGAAAAAGATTTTATTAATTTATTTAAGAGGTAGAGTTATAGACAGTGAGAGGGAGAGACAGAGAGAAAGGTCTTCCATCCACTGGTTCACTCCCCAAGTGGTCGCAATCCTGAGCTGCGCTGATCCGAAGCCAGGAGCTAGGAGCTTCTTCTGGGTCTCCCATGCAGGTGCTGGGGCCCAAGCACTTGGGCCATCCTCCATTGCTTTCCCAGGCCATAGCAGAGAGCTGGATCGAAAGAGGAGCAGTCAGGACTCGAACTGTTGCTGCAGGTGGAAGATTAACCTACTGTGCCACAGTGCCAGCTCCCTTAAGAACCTTTTATCCCCCCAACTTTCCCTCTTTATGTGGCTTATTTTACTCGACACAATGTCCTCCGGTTCTATCTATTTTGCTGCAAATGACAGAATTTCATTTTTAATAGCTAAGTAATACTCCATTTTGTATAGATACCCATTTTCTTGATCCCTTCATCTTCGGTTGATTGCGCATGTTGGCCATTGTGAACAGTGCTGCTATGAACATGGTGGAACAGAAATCTCTGATAGAATGGATTTATGTTTTTTGAAACTCTGGAGATCTGATTGGTGATGGCACACCAAAGGTTGGCAGACTTTTTCATGAAAAGTCTAGATAGTTAATATATAAACTTTACAAGTCATATAGTCTGTTTCCTCTCTGTTGTCCTCTGCCATGGTAGGGTGAAAGCAGCTGTTTGTAATACATAAGTGAATGGCCGTAACTGTGTGTCAATAAACCTTTATTTACAAAAACTGACAGTGGGCCTGATTTGGCCCATGTGCCACAGTAGCCAGCCCCTGTATTAGAAAGAAGCCCCTGGCCTTCTCTTTGTTGCTTGGTTTTACCTGTGGACAAGGCCTGCCTGGCCTCTGCAGCACAGAGCTCTCCCAAGAGCCTGCGAGGTGGCTGCTCCTCTCCCCATTTGAAGGCTGAAGGTAGCAAAGGGCAGAAGACCCTGAGCAACTGGCTCAGCGTTGTGCCAGGAGCAGGTGGTGTGACACGGCCAGATCTCGTGTCTGCTGTCCCCTCGGTGTTTTTCTGCCTGGCATCGTACCTTTCAGTCACCAAGCAACAGACTTGGAGATGTTTTCTGGATTGTGCTCTCAATTCCGTGTGCTTCTGGAGAGGCAGTAGTTGACCGTTGCCGAGGTCACCTGGGCGGTAAAGTTCAGGAAGCACAGTGAGTGTGACACACGTCCAGGAGTGCTGTGACCGCAGAGAGGCCTGTCAGGGCTGATCTTGTCGCTGCTCTTCCCTGCATCTCTGAGTGTTGGAAACAGACTCCCAGGCAAAGCCTTTCCTTCCAGAAGGAGCCTTCCGTCCATGAGGGCAGCACCACGTCCCTCAGGCTCTGCCAGAGATCTCAGGTTTGGCTCCAGAATGCAGAGTGTGGGGCAGACGCTGGGCCCAGTGGTTAAGCTGCCTGCTTCCCACGTCAGATTTCCTGGGTTTGAGTCCCGGCTCCAGTGCCCGACTCCAGCTTCCTGCTAACGCACACCCTGGAAAGCGGTAGTTAGGGCACCAAATAGCTAGGTTTCTGCCATCCACATGGGAGACACGGGTTGAGTTCCCAGATCCTGGCTTCAGCCTGACCAGCTGTTGTGGGTATTTGGAGAGTAAACCAGTGCCCTTTCTCTCTCTTTCTAATCCCCACCCCAAAGAAGTTAAAACAAACAAATGCAAAGGGTGGGCCAGCGCCGCGGCTCGCTTGGCTAATCCTCTGCCTGCAGCGCTGGCACCCCAGGTTCTAGTCCCGGTCGGGTCGCCGGGTTCTGTCCTGGTTGCTCCTCTTCCAGTCCAGCTCTCTGCTGTGGCCCAGGAGGGCAGTGGAGGATGGCCCAAGTGCTTGGGCCCTGCGCCCGCATGGGAGACCAGAAGGAAGCACCTGGCTCCTGGCTTCGGATCAGCACAGTGCGCCGGCCATAGCGGCCATTTGAGGGGTGAACCAACAGAAGGAAGACCTTTCTCTCTGTCTCTCTGTCTCTCTCTCTCTCTCTCTCTCTCACTGTCTAACTCTGCCCATAAAAAAGAAAGAAAGCAAAGGGTGTGCCGGCCTTCCAAACCAACTCAGCACCTTGTCTCTGTTCGCCTGCAGAAAGCCACCATCAGTCACGTCTCACCTGACAGCCTTTACCTGTTCCGAGTCCAGGCCGTGTGCCGGAATGACATGCGCAGTGACTTCAGCCAGACCATGCTCTTTCAAGGTGAGCCCACGTTCCCTCGTCCTCTGCTCAGGAGCACCCCTGACTCGCCTTCCTTGTTTGTGCTCTATTGGGTTATTTTTCCTGTTAACATGGTTGGGCAAAAGAACACCCCTGGCCTCAGAATCACTATAGGGCTTTAAACCCTGCCTGGAAATTCCTGGTAATTTGCATCTACAGATGACTCTGGTCAGGAGATTCATGGGTCAGAAGAGTGGTGGAAAAGCAAAGCCTTTTTTATCGGTTGGCTGCTTTTCTGGTTCTTTGGTAACAGTGGAGAGCCAAGTATTTGGACTCTCTTCCCAGGCCTTGTCCAGCCCTGCATCAGGTCACACAATCACTCCAAGTGCTGCCGCTGGCTCTTTGGTTCTCCAGTGTGATTCAGTTTCCCATTATCACGAGAACTGGACCCAAAACACATACGCTTCCCCTTCCAAACTGCAAGCCCCTGTTTTCAGGATCCTTAAGACTGCCGGGCTATGGATGCTGGCTTCTGCTGATGCGGGCGGGGATGCATAGGAAGTTCCAGAGACCAGAACTGGAGAGAAGGAAAGAGGATACCTGCCTTGGCACAGAATTTGAAGAAGGACCCAAAAAACTCAAAAATAAAATCAAGACCTGCAATGATCTAATGGGACTTTTTTTTAAAGCAAAATCAGTTCAAAAATTTCATGATTAAAATATCAAAATTTTAAATAAATAAAGGGAATGGGATTTTTTTACACTGGTTAAGAGGCCACTAGGAATACCCGTGTCCCATATTGGAATGTCTAGTTTGAATTCTAGCCCTCCTACTTCCTACACAGATTCCTGCTAATGTGCACCCTGGGAAGTAGCAGGTGATGGCTCAAGTATCTTGGTCCCTGCAACCCATGTAGGAGACCCAGACTAAATCCCTGGCTCATGGCTTCAACCTGGCCCAGCCCTAACTGTTATAGGCATTGAGGGAATGAACTAGCAGATGAAATATATTCTCTCTCTTTGACTTTCAAATAAAGTGAAAATAAACAAACATTTAAAAACAAATAAATAGAGGGTATACCTTGTCTTAACCCCACCTCATCCTAGTCCTGGTTCCAGCAGTATTTACAGAAAGAGGCTACCAGTCTGTGGCTGTCGTTCACTGATTGGCACTATGCTCAGCATGCAAATGGGACCAGGGCTTTGGCTCCACTGGGCAAGTCTCTGATCACGTTCTTCTTTCGGGTCCTCAGCTTTCCCATCTCTAAAATGAGAAATCCTCACACCAGCCCGGTTGTTGTTAAGCTTTCTAAGTCATGGATCTGATGAATCCTTTGGAACTTTGCCCTTTAGAACGTGCCAGAATTTTGCATCCAACCTCAGGGACCTTGTGAAGCATACAAGTCGTGCACCAACAGCGGCAGCCTCTCCTGGAAGCCTGTGAGGAGTGCAGATTCACAGGCCCCTCCCAGACCCGCTGCACAGAAACCTCTGTGCATGGAGCCCAGGAATCTGAGTTCTAACGAGATGGCCCGGGTGACTGGCAGCCATGTTCAGGGCTGAGAACTGTGGGCTTAGAGCTGGGTCCCTAGAGTGAAGGCCTCTGGTTTAAGTCATTCTGCCACTCAGTAGCTATGCAGCTCTGAGAACTCTTCTTGTAGCTGCAGTTTCCTGGTCCAGAAAGTGGTGTCATTGATGTAGTGGCCCTATAGTGTCCTTGCAGAAGGACATGGGGCTATACACGGTAACAGGTGTGTGCAGTGCTCACTGCTGGCTTTGTGTATGGACACCTCCCTTAGTGTCGGTAAGAAGCCCTCCAGCCAGATTCCTGCTAAGGATATTTTTTTAAATAATTTTTTTTTAATTAAAGGGTATAGTATGATCATTCAGTACATTATTGCCATATGTAATGATCAAGTCAAAATAATTAGCATTTTCATATCTTTCAACACTTATCATTTCTATGGGTTTTTTTTAATTATTTATTTATTTTGAAAGCCAGAATTACAGAGAGAGAGAAAACAGGAGATTTTTCATCCACTGGTTCACCTCCCAGATGGCCACAATGGCCAGAGCTAGGCCAGGTCAAAGCCAGGAGCCAGGAGCTTCTTCCAGGTCTCCCACATGGGTACAGGGGCCCAAGCATGTGGGCCATCTTCCACTGCTTTCCCAGACCATTAGCAGTGATGTGGACCTGTTGGGATATAAATCAGCACCCATATGGGATGGCAAGTGGCAGCTTTGCCTTCTACACCATAATGCTGACCTCTGTCATTTCTTTGTGTTGGGAATCTTTGAACTCCTCTCTTCTAGTTCTTTACAAAATACAATATCCGTTGTAAGCCATGGCCATGCCACTGTGCTGCAGAACAGGGCTGATTCCTCCTCTCTAACTGCATCTTGGCACCTGGTGTCCAACCTCTCTGCCCTTCTGCCCTTTAGTCACCTCTGTTGTATTCTCTCCTTCTGTGAAACATGAAGTATTTGTCTTTCCCTGCCTGACTTATTTAAGTGAACAGACTGTCCTTTAAGGATATCTTGTAGCTTAAGCCCTATGCATTTATTGTTTAAATTTTCTTTACTAATGTTCATAGGGACCTCATCCTTCCATTGAAATGAATTGAAATTTGCATATCTGCATTTTTTTCCTAAATAAATCACATTCATTGTGTCCACCTGTACCCAGAACATAGGGCTAACATCTGATGTGCCAAGTTAGGACTATGGGCCAAGGCCAAGTCTGTGTCACCAAGGAGAGAGATTGGGAGAGGCCAGACTTGAGAGCCGGCTGAGGCTGGGCCCTGATGCTCATGGCACAAAAAGCAGGATTAGGCCTCCCACACCCCCTGACCAGGAGCTTGCAATCTGTGGAGTGGTAGACCCCTGAGCCCTGCGTGAACCTTGGAAAGTTAAATGTTTGTGATACCATGTAATTCCTAAAGACCCTGTCACCTGTATATTCCAAGTGTGAGTGCTTCCAGAGGCTGACCACAGTACCCCCTTGAGAATGGCCAAGACCTCCTTTGTCTGTAGACACTGTGCTGGGGGTCACTGTGTGTGTTGGTATTGATCTCAACATGTTGGTAAAGACAGGGACGAGATCGTTTATTTACTCCTCCCCACAATGGCTTTGGTATTTTCCCCATGCATAAAAGTGGGCAGTGTGAAAACTAAATCTTCATCAAGGTGAGATAACTTGTGTTTTCCTGTGAGTCAGGTAGGAGTGTGTAAGCAGTAGGGGCCAAAGGATCAACCACTAGGATTTGTTTCATTTCCTTGTTTTTATATTTATTTATGGAAAGAATGAGAGCAAGGGGGGTCTCCTGTCTGCTGGTTTATACCCCAGATGCCCACAACAGCCAGGGCTGGACCAGACCAAACCTAGGAACCAGGGATGGCAAGGACCCAAGTACTTGAGCCATCACCTTCTGCCTCCCAAGGTGCACATTAGCAGGGAGCTGCCATAGAGAGCTGAGCCAGGACTCCAACCCAAATACTCCAATTTGGGATGCAGGTTTTTCAGCTGGTGACTTCAACTGACTATAGCAAATACCCACCTCAGAATTTAAATTTTAAAAGGAAAAGAAGTTGGGCACTTGGCCCAGTGGTTAAAATGCCAGTTCTCTGTCAGAGTGCCTGGGTTTGAGATCTGGCTCCTCTCCCTATTCCGGCCTCCTGCTGATGTACACACTAGAAAGCAGTAGTTGTTGATTTAAGTAACTGGGTTCCTGCCATTTGCATGGGAGAACTGGACTGAATTCCCTTCTCTCATCTTAGACCTGGCCAAGTTCCAGCTATTATAGGCATTTGGGGAGTCTTGGTCTCTTTTTTCTGTTTCTGCACTTCTCAAATTAAATAAGTAAACAAAGAAAAGGGAAAGAATAAAGCTAAGAGAATTCCACAGAAGCCTTGTTCAGAATAAATAGAATTCACAATAATGAGTTTATATCTGGTTTGGGAGCATGAGGAAGCTGCATGGAATATTTACCTTATTATAGTAAATATAACAATATTTATGTTCTACCTACCATGACAATAAATATGTTTTATTGACCTTCCTGTGGCAAAATAATAGTAATAATAATAGCAAGCAGTATCTGTAGAGTGGCTCACAGCTACAGAGCATTGTCACATAAATTATCTCATCTGCACCTCACTTGGTGGCAGCTTGTAATGTCAGCATTAGTTTACAAATGGGGAAATGATGTTCTCCAGTAATGGGAGAAAAATCACTCAGCTACCAAGCAGAGTTGGGTTTTCTTATTCCAAAGTACAATCATTTATACACAGCAATGGGCAACCCCAAAGAATCAATATTACCTAGTAGCCCAAGCCTTCAGCAACAAGATAAAAATACAGATGTCTGCATGTTCTCAACAATCATGGAAAACTTAACCATGGACCCATTACACATCCTAGCAAAGCCCACAGGATCCCTCTCAGAATGGATTTTACATAAATAAATAAAATACACAGGAAAGGAACCAGTTATATCCAGATGCATTTGTCAAGATAGTGGGGACAAATTCCAGATACAGTTATGTGTGCACGTGTAGCGTAAGTATTAGATGGCAAGTGTTAGCTACTGTCATTTCAGGGTCGTGATGGGCATGCGTGATCTCCTGACATAGGCGCAGATTCTGCAAGGCACATGTGGCTGAGACTGGCTGCCTGCAGCCACCATGGGGGCAGGTGTGGGGTTGCTGTGAGAGCCCAGCGAGAATGCAGGTGCAGTTTTTGCCTCCACCCCTGAATTCTGTTAGGTCCTGGACCCGAGGCTGTGCTCTCGATCGGAAGGTCCTTGTGGAGACTCCCTGGTTACAAGGGCTGTAACTGATCCTGATGGAGATAGTTCAAGAGTAATGAAAAGGCAACAGGCTGATGGAGTGGCTATTTAGTCGTTGGCCTTAATTGGAGCCTTTGGAGAGGGCAGGTGGAGGAGGTCTCCTGGGAACCTTTTTTCCTGCGTTGACGAAGGCAGCTGTGTTCACCTGTCTGCGGCAGTGAAACGCTGGCGTGTGAGCAGCTCAGTGATCAGGGACAGCTGTGTTTAGTCCTGGGTGAGAGTCACGCTGTTTGCTCCCTGGACGGCCTTCTCTGACCGGGAATCTAAAGCTATATTGACTTCCAGAGCCCTCTGTTCCCCACATTTGTCTCATCACACATTTCACCGTCCAGCTATGCAAAACGAATGCATTATTCGGTCAGGGGTTGCAAACTCAGGTGCCCGTGGGGCCAGGGGCGCTGCATGCACGTGAGGGGAGGACTTTCAGTGGGCACCTGGATATCATGTGCTCACCTACAGGGGATGACGGACAGCCCCAGGCGAATGCTGCCCTGCAGGGCGGCGACCCCCGTTTTGCTGGATGATGTGATTTGGCAGATAAGCAAGAAATTGGAATGTTGTAGGTGAAAGCCGCCATGTTCAATGTTGGCGGCAGATTCACTTTGTGAAAAGCAGCTTGCAAGCCAGACAAGTACATGTGGATCACCTGCCATCTCTGGTGTGGGGACAACTAGAGCAGGTGCAAGTGTTGTGTATTTTGGCAATTAGCGATTTCTGCTCCTTTTTTCAGTGTTACCTATCAGAGGGTATTTTTTAGAGTTCCTCAACTATAGAATTAAAAGATAAGTTTATTTTGGAGCAAAAGTACTTTTAAATCATTGCATAGTTTTTTTTTCATAATCTGCATTGTTATGATTACTTAAAGACCTCCTTATATGCCTGGATTTAAAATTTTTTGCACTGGAAAAGCTCATCTTGTAATTCCATTTTCCATGAGCTTTTTGAAGTACTGTCACATAGGAGGCAGATTTACATAGTTTATATAATGCTACTTGTGTTTGAAATAACCACAAAGACAGAGTTTAATAGGGCAAGTGGTTTTCTTTGTCAAGTTGTATTGCTCAGCATTCTTTGCAGGAGTCAAAAGGTAGATGCCACCTTGAATGTCCACAGAAGGGATGAACGAAAGGTCGCGGGTATAGACAGTGGACTGTTACTCAGCCTGTGAAGACAGGAGGCTCAGTACATGCTACAGGATGAGTGAATGCTCCGCTTCCAGCTGCTAGGAAAGCAGCAGAAGATGACCCTAGTGCTTGAGCCCCTGTCATCCGCGTGGGAGACGTGGATGGAGTTCCAGGCTCCTGGCTTCTGCCTGGCCAAGCCCCAGCCCCAGCCACTGCAGCCATCTGGGGAGTGACTCAACAGACGGATGGAAGATAACCTCTCTTTCTCTCTCTCTCTCTCTTTCTCTGTAACTTCCTATTAAATAAATAAACCTTTACATAAAGACTGTCAATTTTATAATAATAATGATTAATGGGAGACCAGAGCTGCAGGAAGCAATGAATACCAGAAAGGGGACTATGGTTATTGCAAAACAGACCACTTAACAACAGTGTCTTAAAGGTTTAATGTATCTGTAGAAGATACATTACAAAATACACACAAAAACTGAAGTGTGTCAAAATAGTTCAATCATTGTACCTGTGTTATATTTTTAAGTGATAAAAGCACTGGTTGAAGATAAACTGCAGTTTGTTAAGCATGGATATTAGCATCACTAAAACCAAAAAAATCATAGAGGAGGGACAATAAAATAATGTGATTCCATGTAAATAAAGTTCAGAAATAGGCAAAACTATGACGGGTCGGTCATAAGAGTGATTACGGTTGGGGCTCGGTGAGGTCGCAGGCAAACCATTTGTGTACAAAGCACTAGAGGAAGTGTGCATCTTCATATGAGTGGTGGTTACACCGCTGTTCATTTCTGTGAATTGAACCATACAATTCCAATATTTCACTCAGTAAAGCAGAAAACAATGACAAAAATGAAAAGTGTTTTTTAACAAATAGCTGAAGACAGAGAACAGCAAAGTGCTGTCCACAGCCATATTTGGCTCTTGGCATGTTTTGGTGATGCCTCACATTCTAAAAATGTTTTTCTGTTTTTAAATGGTTGCAAATTATCTAAAGATTATCTTCCGTAACATGGAAAAATTAGGAGTCATTCAGATTTGTGTCCATAAATATATTTGGTTGAAACAACAACAAAAAGTTATATTGTTTACAATGTAATTTCTTTATTTCTCAGCAAATACCACTCGGATATTCCAAGGGACCAGAATTGTGAAAACGGGAGTGGTAAGTAAGGAATGATAGTGGCTGTCTCCTGGCTGGTTGTTAATGTGCAGTTCAAACTGTCATCACGAGGTGGCAGTGTCATGTTGTTAAACTGCTGAGCGGGATGAGGTGAAAATTCAGGAATTCTTTATCATTCAGTACAGGATGAAAGCAACTCGTGTAAGTGCTGAGGGGTTAGGCTATAGAATTATGTCAAGGTAAAAATCCTCCAGATTTTTTAAGTTATTTAAGATCTGTTGGATTCCATGATGTAAGAGGGTAAAGGGTTTATATCAGTTGCAAACCGTTCATTTGACATAAGCCAACATTCACAGATTGTCACTTGCCCAAAGTCACCTGAGTTTTCAGATTTCTGGAACCTGAATCAATATCTAACTTTCCCCATAGTTAGTACAACTAATAATATTGCTAACCACACTGGTCATGATTAAAAAAAAAAAAAGCCGAAAATTCACTAAGCACTAACTGGCTTTCAGAAACAGGTTATTTAATGCAATTCACAAAGTCAGCATTACCATTGTTCCCAATGCACCGGTGAGGAAACCCAGACCCGTGGAGTTGAGCAGTGTGCCGGCATCCCAACAGCACGCGAGGGATCCTCAATTTAAGACTAGCCTGGCTGAGTTCTCTGCACCAAGTGCCCTGTCGTCTGTGCCGTTTGGTTTTCATTCCCCAGCTTCTGAACCTCACTTTGCTCGCTTGATCGCCTCGAAACAGGAAAGTTTTTAAACTAAAACTTGATGATGAAATTAGAAAATCTGAAGTTGTTCTTGTGATTGTTCTCAGCCGTAAGCCTGATAGACTGGAAGGTTTGACCCTGTATAGCAGCTCCTAAGAACTAAAAGGGAACTAATGTGGCAGAGCCGTAGCTACCCCCTGTGCATAAAACCCCATGGTTGAGCGCCAGTGTAGTAGAGTGGGGAAGATGAGCTGAGGTTTGGGTAGGCGGCCGTGTGTTTTGGATAAGCTTCCCTGCACCTATTTCCTCACCTGTAAAATGGAGATGATGACTGTGCCTGCCTCCAGGATAGCACAGAAAGCCCTGGCACACAGCTGCCACTTGTTAAATGGAGCTCTTATTATTGTTGTTGATGTTGTTGCCCATGAGTGTGCTTCAGAAAGTTTATAGAAAATGGAATTAAAAGATAAGTTTATTTGGGTGCAAAAAAAAAAGTGGAAATCAATGCATAATTTTTTTTTTTCCAAAATACTCGTCTTCTATGAGCTTTTTGAAGACTCCCTGTGGAAGGGCATGGATTTTGCCAAGGATCAACCCAAAGATTCTGAAAGGTACAGGGGCCACACTGCAGCCAGCCTGGAAGTGTAGCCTTGTAAACCAGGTGCCAGAGCTTGCAGCACCAAGGGTAGCTCCTGCCCCTGCTGACCTGGGCAGGCCACTGTGCTGCTTGGCTCTTGCGCTCCCCACTGTGAGGTGATGGAGTTGTCCTAGGGCCTCCAGGGTCTTTGCAAACCTAAGAGCCAGATGCTGTCTCCAGGGGTTCCTGTCTCACGGTCATGGCCCCAGAAGACTTGACCATGCGATGCAGCTCATCTATTCCCTACTGTTTCTTTTTACAGCCGCTTTGGTGTGCCCTTGCCTTTTTTCTTTTTCTTTTCTTTTTTCTTTTTTCTTTTTTTTTTTTTTTTTTTTTGCTGCTTGCCCTCCTGCTGAGTGGTAGCAGTGATGATGCAGGTTTGATAGTCCAGTTGGAAGTGTAAGGTGCAAATGCACAACCATGGACCGCTCAGCGCTGATTTTATCCCCACCGTTAGGGTCACCCCGTGGAATGGATAAGTAGCACCTGCAGAGGTTTCAGAAACCAGGGCCTGGTGCTCGGTCCTCACCACTGACCATCTTCTGCTTTCTCTTTCTTCTGCCTCGTCTCCACCCTCCCCTGGTGGCCCCTGAAGCCCACAGCCTCTCCAGCCTCTTCCGCCGACATGGCCCCCATCAGCTCGGGTTCCTCCACCTGGACATCCTCCGGCATCCCCTTCTCCTTTGTTTCCATGGCAACCGGGATGGGCCCCTCCTCCAGCGGCAGTCAGGCCACCGTGGCCTCGGTGGTCACCAGCACGCTCCTGGCCGGCCTGGGTTTCGGCGGCGGCGGCATCTCCTCCTTCCCCAGCACCGTGTGGCCCACGCGGCTCCCGACGGCTGCCGCGGCCAGCAAACAGGCGGGCAGGCCCGTGCTGGCCACGACGGAGTCCCTGGCGTCCCCAGGGCCCGATGGCGATTCGGCACCGACCAAGGACGGCGAGGGCGCAGAGGAGGGGGAGAAGGATGAGAAGAGCGAGGGAGAGGACGGCGAGCGGGAGCACGAGGAGGACGGAGAGAAGGACTCCGAGAAGAAAGACAAGAGCGGGGTGACCCACGCGGCCGGGGAGCGGAGCCAGGTGGAGACCAGCCCGACGCGCTCGGCTCCCGGCAGGACTGCCGAGCAGGGTGGCCACGAGACTATACCTGGGCACGGGCAGGACCAGGCTGCCGTCGCCACAGAGGAGCCAGACGGCGCGAGGAACGTGGATCCTGGCCTGGCCTCGGATGCGGTCACCTCCACCCAAGTGCCCCCAGCAGTCACGGAGGAACAGTCCTGGAGTAACGCCAGGAGGCCCGAGATGCCGTCCAAGAAGCCCATGTCCCGGGGCAACCGCTTTTCCGAGGACAGCAGGTTTATCACTGTCAACCCAGGTGAGTGGCGGGCCCTCCCTAGCTAAGGGGCTGCTGTAGACCCTGCGGCCAGCAGGGGGAGAGTCGGAAAGTGCTTCATATTCTTGCGGTTGGGTAGGGGGTTGCTTCAGGAAGTTGGTGGAAAATGAAATTTAAGATAAGCTTATTGGGTTGCCGCTGTGGCAGAGCAGGTAAAGCTGCCACTTGCAGTGCCGGCCTCCCATAGGGATACGGGTTCTAGTCCCAGCTGCTCCTTTTGCAATCCCGCTCTTTGCTTTGGCCTGGGAAAGCAGTGGAAGACGGCCCAAGTTATTGGGCTGCTGCACCTGCATGGGAGACCTGGAAAAAGCTCCTGGCTCCTGGCTTTGGATCAGCTCACCTCCAGCCTTTACAGGCACTTGGGGGAGTGAACCAGCAGATGGAAGACCTCACCCTCACTCCCTCATTTTCTCTCTCTCTCTCTCTGTCTCTGTCTCTGTCTCTATCTCTCTCTTTGCCTCTGTAACTCTGACTTTCAAATAAATAATCTTAAAAAAAAGATAATTTATTTTGGTGGGAAGGAATTTTGCACTCACTCATATTTTAAATGTCTTCAAAGAGTTCTTGGAAAATGTGTATTCTGAAAAAAAAACAACTATGCATTTCAAAATTTTTTGTACCAAAATATAAATATACTTTGCTTTTTTTTAAAAGGAAAAAAAAGATTGGTTTATTTCCTTATTTACTTGAAAGGCAGAAAGAAGAGAGAGAGAGAGAGAGAGAGAGAGAGAGATCTTTGATCTGCTGGTTCACTCCCCAAATGGCCACAGCAGCGAGGGCTGGGCCAAGCTGAATCCAGAAGCCCTGAACAGCATCCAGGTCACCCACATGCATGGCAGGGGCCCAAGCACTTGGGCCATCCTCTGCTGCTGTCCCAGGTGCCTTCGCAGTGAGTTGGATCAGAAGTGGGACAGCCAGAACTCGAACGGGCACTCATATGGGAGGCCAATATTGCAAGCAACAGCTTAACCCCCTGCACCACAATGCCAGCCCAGGGACTTAGCTTTCGATTCATTTTCCCACCAACTTGTTGAGGTTTCTACATGGATTGGTGAATATGTGTGCTTGCTTGCCTGTGTCTCCTTATTTTATTTGAACAAGAACCTTCCCTGTTGTCTTCGCTGGAATCAGTCTTTCCTTGGTGTTTATCTCCTTGTCTCAGGATAACTCCAAGGACTTCAGCCCCATCATGACAGAAATGAATGTATAAACTGTCCATCTTAGACACTTAAGATTTCACCCCTCAGCCATCCCACACGTCTGTTTATACAAGGCCAGTTTTTGTGCTGGGCGTTGGGCTGGGTGCTCTCAGTCTCTGCCCCTTGCTACTCACAGCCTAATAGGGAAAGACAGTGCTCAGCCAGAGCATGTGCTGGGAAGTTAGGTAGCAGGACCATCTGAGAGCCAGCAAACTTAGTGGCAGGCTGGCAAGCCAGAAAATGAGCCAAGGTTTTCCATTGTGAAATGGTACAAATGGTAGCAGAGAGAAGAATAGGAAGCTGTCAGAGAGAATGACAGAGGTGCCAGGGACCTGCATTAACAAAGAAAGGCCACTCGGGAGAAGTGACATTGACACTGCAATCTGAAGAATGAAAGGGGACAGGAAAGGAGAGCTGCTAGGAGCCCCATGGTCCCAGCTCAAGAACGTCACGCACACAGCCAGCGTGAAGGCTGGACAGAACGTGACGTAGCCAGGGAGGCCAGGGCATGGCTAGGGTGGCCTGCACGTGTTAGGATGCTCATCTTGCCCTGACAGGTAGCAGTTTTGTTGCTCCATCTTAATGAAGCCTTCTGGTAGTTTCCGCAAGGGAGCCGCAAGCATGGGGGTTGCTATTGTTGCGAGGGATTTTCTTAATAAGAAATTCTTCATTTTGCCAGACTACAAGATGTTTAGCAACAATTTTTTTTGCATCGAAGCTGTTGTGGAGTTATAAGAGTGCAAAAAAAAAGCAACTGGTAAATATTTATTTGCTTTTGCACTTGTAAACATTAAAATTCATCTAAAGCTGAGATCTCGTATGTTAAGATACAACTTAGAATAAATTTTCATGTTTTGAATTTCTTTCCTCTTAAAGCTGGTATGAACTAATTTTTTTTAAGTGGGGGTCTCTGGTTGTGGCTCAGTGTAGTTGTGGCTGTAGAGAATGGTGCACAGTGGCCTTCCATGGAAACACGGGGCCCCTTGTATGCTATTCCTGGATGAGCGTGACCTTCTCCCTAGGAATTCCTGTGAAAAAAGAAAATGCACTTTCACATGTAAACATAGCAAAGAAATATTATATTACAAAGTGCCCACTGTGCATGAGGCACTGACTAGGCATTGGGAATAGAGGATAGACAGACAGATTTCCATTCTTTGGGGGTTTACATACTAGTTGGGGGAGCTGGACAACAGTCCAGTAAATAAATGCATAGTTGAAAGAGTGTTCATTGTTGCAGCTGGGGAGAGAGACAGTGCAGTGCTGAGTAGACAGGGGTGGACAACCCAAGGCATGGGAAGGATCTACCATGCAAAGAGCCACGGGGGAGAAGTCAAGGCTGCAGGAGCGGCACGTCCAGAGGCCCTTCAGTGGGGACGGATTTGGATCTGTGCTGCAGCTCTTAGAAGGCCAGGGCAGAAGTCTACAGAGGGCGAGGAGGAGAGGAGAGGCGTGTTGGGGAGCGAGGGGTGCTCATTGGCCATGCTGGGGATTTCACTGTACTTGAAAGAGGAAAGTGGGAGTAGACCTCAGCGGGACAGTCACTCATCTGATGACGCTCTGTGAAAGGCCCTCTGCGTGGTGATCACACAGGGGAGGCAGGAGTGGCTGCAGGATGCCTCGTGAGGACCTGGCCCTCCGCACCAGCGCGGATCAAAGACAAGTGGTAGACTTGGAACTGATGTTGGAGCTTGAGTGGTTTCCCCCTCTGGACTAAGGGCTCTGGCAAAAGCAGTATTCTCGCCTGCTGCTCTTCAACATTTCTGAGACCACACTCCTGGAAAATGTGACTGCTTGGAGCTTAGGTTGAGAGTGTTTACAGCTTGAGAGACTGGAGAGGGGTGTGGCTGGGCAGCTCCAGGTCAGTGGAAACGGCTTACTGCCCTGGCAGTCAGACTCCAGACTGCGGGGAAAAGGGAGAAGCAGCGGAGAGTGAACTTGGGGATTCCCAGCTCCAGCTTCAACCCCTCGGGTGTCTGAGTCTGTCTCCGTCTCGGCAGAGTGGCTTTTGGGGGGGTCACATCAACCCGGTCAGCTCCGCCCCTTATTGAAGCAGGGTCCACTAGTTGGTCTTAGCTCTGTGTCGTCATCTGTAAAAGGGGATCGGGATGGCCCTCAGTGCAGAAGGGACAGAGATAAAGGAGTCACCCTGGTTATCCGTGACAAGGACAGAGGAGCCGTCGGCAGCCCTAGTGCCATGCAGTATTGCAGGTGGCTGCAGGAGACCCCTAACAGGTCTCTCCTTTGCAGTCATCCGGGGACATGGAAGAGCTTGTCAGTACCAGTCCCCAGGTGGTTGTCAGTAAAAATGACTTCTGTGGATGGGCATTTGGCTTGGCAGTTTCAAAGTTTGGGAATGGGTTTGATTCCCAATTCCATCTCCTGATTCCAGCTTCTGCTACTATGCACCCTGAGAGGCACAGGTGATGGCTCAAGTACTTGGGTCCCTGTCACCCATGTGGGGGATCTGGTTTGAGTCCCTGACTCCTGGTATTAGCCTAGCCACTGTGGGGCACACCAGTAAGCCCGACATCAGTTCAGGGCCTCCAAGGTCTCTCTCTACTCCACCCATCCCATCCTCCACCTCCCCTCCTCTGCTTCCTCCAGACTGATTTGTCATTCAGCAAATCACCATCACTTGAATGTTAGCAAATCACCATCCCTTTAATGTCAGCAGTGATTCATTTGAAAGACTTTAGATGTTCCTGTGCTTAAATCAGTTCCACATTTATTTTTTCTTCACGTGAAGCCAAAACAACTTATTTTAATCAATATTTATTCCCTTTGAGAACAGCGATGTTTAAAGTTACAAACGATGTTACAGTTCTACGAGTATCTCCAAAAGAGTTGTTAAGATTCCGTTGACATTTGAGTAACGTCTCTTCCAGTACTATGAGTGGGAGCTTTAGTATCCTCTCCCAGGAGAGACAAGAGGAATCCTTTTATAGAAGAAGCTGCAAAGTCAGGCACCAGTAGAAATCAGACTGGGACTATCAGTAGGGAAAAGACCCAGTGTGGTATATTAAGGAGTAGTGAGGATTGCAGCAAATAGAGACTACATGTCCTTTCTGCAGAGGGCTACTTCTTGCCAGTGAGAATGCCTAGCAAAGAAATACAGGGTTTTGTACTGATTCCACCCATTGTTAAAATAAGTTCAGACTTTAAACTATTTTTTTTTTACAGAAGCCAAACTAAATACATCCCTGGGATAGGTAGTTTGCTCTGCTGTTGATGGCTATAGTTGCCACTGCTCTGGAAGGTTCTTGAGGGATTGGAGGCCTGTAAGTAGGCACTTGCTCTCAGCACACTTCTTTGTAGCATCTGTTCAGCAGCAAGCCCGTGGCTCGCTCTGTGTGATGTGGGATCCAGCCTTGGGTCCCTCCCTCAGAAGTCGCAGCCTGACCCTGGAAGAGCAGAAGCCAGGCGATGCGATAAGCTGTCCTTGGGGCAGTGTGCAGTACACGATGCCCGCTTGAAAACATCCATGCAAGCCCAGCGTCCAGACTCCTCATTAGTGCTGGCCTTGTCCATCTTGGCTTCTTCAAATCAAGGAAACTCTCCCCAACTGCAGATGCAGCCTTGTTGCAAACTCGGATGTATAAACCTACATTTCACTAAAGGGTCATGGACTGCCTCTTCTAGGGTAGCCCTGAGCCATGTCCTGCAGGGAAGGTACAGTTTGAGGGCTGGGAATCCAGACTACAGGCCAGATCCTGCCCACAGGCTGCTTTTGTGTGGCCCAGGAGCTGAGAAGTGGGCAGAGACCCCAGGCTGCTGTTACGT